TTAAATGAAAAAGCATTTGTACAAAATTTTAAATGTACTCTTTCTACCATTTCAACATTACCATAACCCCACACTTCACAACCATACAATAAAATTGGAATAACAATCTTGTCGAACAAATACAATTGGTCATAAAGAGAGAGATGTAATTGGTTACCCTTTTTCAAAATACCATACATAGCTTTCGTTGCTCTTTCAGTAGCAACCAAGCTTTATTATAAACGTGATGACCTAACTTTTCAATCGTCAACTTCCCTTACTTATACCTATCACAAAATACAATGAAGCGCATTGAAGTGGTAAAATTTTCCGTTCGAATGGAACATTTTGAGCTATCTTTAGAACGTTTATTGTCATCTTATGACACGCCCATTTCTTTAGAAATGGATAAAACGGTCATTTTTTTTTTCGAATACCTGTAGAACAGGTTTTCCATAAATATAATAGCCAATCAAATTGACGGTCTAAATAAACACCGAGTAAACACGTGTTCGACCGAAACGTGTTGTGTTAACTTCAGTAGACATGATAAGTTCAAAAATATGTACAAATTCGTTGCAATTTGTGTTTTACAGAAGCGAGGAGTCTCTAACTCCCTCTTTTAATTTTTTAAAGCTTCATTTCAGTGTAACTCATGTTGCTTGTAGCGAAGATTGGGGTGACCCAAAACGACGACGAATATTTCTTTCTCGTTTCTAAAAATATGGGCGTGTCATTATGTTATAATTGACGTTCAAAACATGACTTGGAACGTTTCATCCAAACGGAAAATTTTACCACTTCAATGCGCTTCATTGTACCTTCATCACCTCATTACCTTCAAGCGGAGTTTATTTCTCTCAATTGATTTGATACGCGGGAGCACGCTTTACGTATGAACAATTTCTAAAACGAGGTAAATTATTGACAAACAAGTTGCTGAAACAAGAATATTAACAATCTCGTTTAAATTTCATAAGTTGTATGGTCGATACGATGACCTTGTCACCAAAAAAAACTAGAGGTACTGTGAGCAATGAGCTCACTAAATGACACCCCCCCCCCTCCCATATGAATATGATGGCAGTGTCCATGTTTTGCTCTGGAAAATTAAAAATATACGTCAGATCAAAAAGTAAAATAGGAGGTGCAGAATGGCAATATGTAATTAAAAATCTGTGAAAGTTTCATTCAATTTCCTTCAGTGGTATGAGAGGAGTTGCGGATAAGAGATGGGTACCCCAAAGCGTAACAGACGGACGGACGGAAATACCGATTACTATATATCCTCCCACTTTTCAAGCGGGGGGTATGATTATAATAAAGTCAAATGCTGACTGATGTTTTTCATTCTAATTGTAAGTTAATTATTTATACATACTGAATTAAAAACGGATTTTCCCGTTATTCCCCGATTATAACAAGGAGCACACGACGAGTGTGACCGATCGTCAGGGGATGCTCATTCCTCCATGGCCCACCCTCCCTCACTCACACACACGCTTTCACACTCAATGGAGAGAGAGAAAGAGAGCTAATAATTTTTCAAACATGATCTCTTCTGCAGAATTTTATTCAGGCGATTACAAATATTAAGATATACAGTGTATATGTATACAGTAAATATACACTTATCCCATTAAAGAAAAGGCTTCGCTTTGATTATAGTCCTTGATCTGGATTGGACCTTATAACCTTTATGTCTGATCACCAGAACACAAATGGCAAACAAGGCAAAGGTCGCTTAGGCGGCGAAAATGGCCAGGATGACCAGTATATACTTAGCATCCGAAGACAACCAGTCAGATGAAGTCGACGACGTGCTCGACGAGGCACTTTCTGAAAAACAACGATCAGCATCACAAAATAAAAGTATAAAATTGGTCATGATTTAAACTATATTATTTTCGTTTCTATGTTGATTCAAAATATATCCAATTGGATTCGGAACAAAAGACAACACAGAGTCATAGTCATATACAACTGTTAAAATTTAGATAATATGCTAAAAAAAATTATGGCGAACTCCTAGCTTAACTTTTATTAAACAAGATGTCTCTATTATTCTAACATCTTCTCTGATTTGTGTAGCAATATATCATTGTCATCTGTATATTGAGATAACCTTTAATGACCAATACGCAAGTGCATATGTATGATTTCTCTATAGCAAGGCAAGCTTTGACATATAAATGATTATACAAATATACACTGTATTAGCAATCCCGAATGTAGTCAATATTTTCGCCATAATGCTATGGTGTAAATAATGACCTTGTTAACAAATACAATGTATAGTTTGTAAGAGTTGACCAACGTTTTTCATTTTAACTTATATGCCGTTTTTACATTGACTTGTCTACATATTTCTCGTTAACCCGATAATGATGATGAGCATACGGTGGGTCTGATCAATCTACTGGAGATACATACACTTTTACGGCAAAAAAACATTTCATATTTATGAAATATAAATTAACGTGTAAATAACTATTTAGAGATGTTAAATATGAATAACCGTTCTCTTGAATAAAGATAGTTAACTATATCTCGGCAATATATGGTAATGTGGCATATTGCAGATCTAGCTCCATTACATTTCCTATTATAAATGAGCTCTTTTTTTGCACAATATTACCAAGTGTTTCTTTTTACCTATGATCTGAACTGTCAAAACTTTCGGTCCAACTAGATTTTTTCCATCGTAGACATAAATATACAGGTCAAAACCCGGTTCTGTAACATTGGCCACATTACTCTCAGCTAGAACTGCACCAGCTTTGAAATCAAACGAATGTTAATATAAATATGTTTCATTTGTCAAATAAATAAACTTATCAAACATTGTTCTATTATAAATAATATCAACGTTCTAGTTTGACACTTTCTGTGTTTGGAAATTTCCTCACTTCAATGTTGATTTTTAGAATTTTGAAAATTTTAATGAAAAATCGAATAGTATTTGCCCTGACGTTGTCCTAAAAAATCAATTATTTACTACACTTCTAACAAATGGTAACTTACAGCTAAATATCTTGAAAGGACAGGAAGCGGGTATGCAGGTCATGTTGTAGTAGAGCTGGGCGGCCTCCTTGTCAGTGGAGGATACTGTATATATAGACGTCCCTGTGATCGTAGTGGGGGAAACACTTACGCCTATAAAACATTAATTCACGAGAAATCTATTGAATTTTATATGTAGTATAGTTAGTTGTATTAAAAAAAATCAACTTAAATGTGTTAAACACAAGGAATTATTAAAATTAACAAAATCGTTATCAAAGTAGGCATTGTTTCAGGAATTTTTTTCACGTACAACGGCAATTGCGTAAAAATTTCATAGTAAGGTTCTTAATTTCCCCCTTTCCACTTCTTCAAATTTCATTTTTGATGTTGATATAATTAATGCAGATGTGTTTCATTAATAATATTGTACAAACGAATATCTTTGTTGTTACTTACTTGCCGGTAGGTTAGATATAACTGGCTGTTCATTCTTGGTCACATACACGACGAATGTACTGCTGGTCGTATCTTTAGTATCCGTGCATTGAATTGTCATCAAATACTCCCTGGTGGTATCATAATCAAGAGAAGCAGCCGCACGAACATAGATTGAATACCCTAAAAATATTATTTTATATCCATATATTTCATACATTAACCAGTATGTCAGATGATATTAAACAAACTTCTCAAATCAATGTAAAATTCATTGAATAATATATATTGGCGTGTGTACATGTTTAGAAATCGTTGGAATATGAGAAAGAAGTGGGCATCTATTTTAAAGCAGTATACTTCACTTACTAGAATTTCCTATAGAATAATAAAGGTAAAGATCAGTTGTGTTTGGGCTAATGGTTGAGGAGCACGTGACAGTGTCTCCTACTGTCGGATCAGTGACGGTCAGGATGTACAACTCCGTTTCTTCCGTTAGATCTTCGCTTACTTCCGTAGTATTGGGAAGATTTTGAAACACTGGAGGCTATAAGAATAGTATAAGTACATGTACCTTGTCAGTTTTTGAACAGGATAGAGATTTAAATTCCACATTAAAATAAATCAAAGATTGCAATCAAAATTTGCAATACCTTGTTTGTTACAGTTAAAGTAAAAGTGGATGAGGCCGTGTTAGTGCACAGATCCGTCACCGAGAATGTAAAAGTTGTAGTTCCTACACTCACTGAAGCAACGGTGGTTAAATTCCCTATTAAATTATCCAAAACAATCAATAATCCTTAATTCTTGTTTTTTAATCAAATGTTTTTATTTTCAAAAAAAAAAATATTAAACTACCGGAAGAAGTATCAAAGTTGAAGGACGTGGAGGAGGGGCTTGTTGACATCAGTGTATACGTCAGGTTGTCAGAAGCGTCGGCATCTGTTGCTGTCACGGTAAGTAAAGTTGTTCCTACAGCCGTGTCGTCGGTAACAGAGGACGTCGAGGGTAGAGTTGTAAATTGAGGGCTGTTTCCTTAAAATATATTACATGTATACTCATGCAGTTGGAACATTTCAATATACAAGTTTGAAAGGATGGGATTTTATTTGAAAAATCTTTAGAAAAAATGGTAACAAAAAATTGCACATAATAGCCACATACATCAAAACTTAAACCATTCTTCAACATTATTTTAAAAATTGTTTTGTATTCAGACTAATAACCTGGAGACAACTTAGCCTTGATAGAAAACTCCATATTGCGTTGAGGATATGTAGAAAATGAGGCTGTGTTTCCCACCACCTCAGTAGCTGAATCAGAGAAGAGCACATCTTCATTGGCACTTCCCACACCATTATTCGTTATAAAGTAGGCCAGTATAGTTACATTGGAAGATTTACTATACGTAAAGAAGAAAAACATTGCCAGTGCTCGAAGTGCTAAATTAATAAGACTGACGCTATTTTTAACAAAATATCTGCAAAGGACATGACTTACAATCCAATAAAATCTCCAGCATCAACGGATATTTGTTTAGAAGCAGGTACTTGAAGAGTATTCTGAGAGTTTGAACTGGATGTTGTTGCTGAAATTAAAGGAAGAACAAGAGAACACTGATCTTTTCCTATAAAAGTTTTAAGGTATTTCCATTCTGTGATTTCACGGATTTTTGCAAAAACTTATCATTTTTTATTCGAACCCAATAGAAAAAAAAATCGGACAAATGTTTTACTGATTCAATGTAATCTGTGCAAGTACAGGGTCACGGACAGAAAACTTCATAATTAGTTGCATGGCACCTTCTCTGAAAACCTTTGTCCAAATTGGACAGTTCTAGGTTTTTGAATATCAGTGGTACTCTTTCATATTGTTCAAGAATATAAAATTGATATTCGATCACAGTGTGAAAGAATATCTTATTACGTTAATGAATTTATTACTTAAAGAAAATATTTTTGCTTTGTTAAATTTTGAATTGTGAAGATCTGTAAATTTTAAATTAATCTAAGTTGTTCTCTGTGAAAGTTGCGTCTCAACACTAATGTATCATATTGTAATTGAAGTAAATATTTTGTTTGAATGAAGCAGTTTTTCTTGGTTTAATTGATATTGGTTTTAATTTGTTATCTTATATATTATCAAAGAAATAATGGCAATTGCAGAAATAGGAATATACTTTAATCAATACATGTACGAAATTTGAACGTTCAGCGACAGAACATACCTTTTTTTTTTCAAAATCAACATTATATTATTTCATTTTTATACATACAGGGATATTTAATAAAATACAGAATTTAAAAAGGTTTGGTTGAATGTAAACAAAGTTATAAACAATGTCTACGATTTTAAGAGCATCCTCTTAATAGATGAGACAGAGATTATATTGTTTTCTTCTGTCAATTTACCAATGTTTGTATTTCAGGAATTTACAGGAAGAGGACTCTACTCTTGAAACAAGATGTGTTTTTGAAACACTGATGCTCCCCAATATTGCAGCTTATTGTGAGAGTTGATATTTCTCAAATGCATGTCAAACTCCAACGGTGAAGATCAAAAGGTCAAACATTTTACCCACTGAAAGGTCTTGTCACAATAAATACACATCTGAAATATGAAAGCCATAGCACCAACTGTTCTAAAGGTATGACCAAGGTTAAAAGTGTGATGTTTTGTAAAAGTGAGCCAAACTTCAAAGTCAAGAGGTCAAATTTGTGGTCCCAAAGAAAGGTCTTGTATCGAGAAATACACCCGTGATATAAAAAATTCATAGCCCCGCCCACTCAACAGTTATGAGCAAGGTTAAAGTTTGTGCAGAATAAGAGACAGACAGACAGACAGACGGAAAGGACAAAAAGTATTAACCCCGTATTCTCTATTACGGAAACATAAAATATCGGATATTTTAAAAAGATGTTTCTTCTCTAAGAACCCTCTGTACACTAGTGCAAAGTGTTTTTTGAGCAATGAGAGATTTGTATTGAATAAAGGTGTAAATATAAAGCTTATCTCTTTAACTTCAATATATGGTACGTAGTATTTACCCGCGGGAAATATATGTAATGAAAACAATGTAGTATCAGTGAGCAGAAACCACTGTTGTTGACTTCATGCATGGTTAAAATATATATGCAAAAATCATGTTCAGTGAATTTATCTCGGCCTTTTAAAATGTTAAATTTACTTGAACTGGTTACAAATTGAGTACTACAAGTGTATGTATTTATTGGAATTCAGATCTAAAAGCAGTTACCCCTTACTGCAGAAAAATACCGTAGAACCAGAATTCTTTAGTGTGCAGTGTAGACAGGGTTCTTAATAATAACCACAGTGCCATTGTAATTGAAGCGATTCATTTTTTTAAGACGAAGCTTACCTAAATCTGAATAAAACATGAATGCTAATTATCAGTTGCTTGTATCTCAATACCTTTTATTAATAAGTACTTAAAGGACTTTATGATTACGAATGTAAATATCTGCTTTTGAGTCACAACAAATCAACAACACTTGTAATATGCATTAAATGTTTTTTAGTTCTCCTGCTTTTTTTTTTGGTTAAAAGCAAACAAAAACAAATAACATCATGTAGAAGTGATTGATTGATTGATTGATTGATTGAATATTGTTTAACGCCGAGTCGGCAATTTTTAAGCCATGTTTCGGCTGGCATGTAGAAGTGAAATATGTCATTTATTAAAGTATATGACGGAAGAAGTAAAATAAAAGCTAACAAATTTGGGGGGGGGGTAAAAAAAGGGGGACCCAAACGTAGAGTATTAAACATCTTCGGCAAAATATTACACAATCTGACTCCGGCACCATAATGACATTGTTATTAGTTACAATATTCATGTATTTCAAGTTGACCCCCTTATGAACCTCATTCAGAAGATTAAAAAAATATACTAAAGTGTTGTCTGCCATTAAAAAAGGTGAGTAAAACAAAATAACAAACAGCCAAAACAAAATAACAAAGAGTTGCTGACTATCATTTGTCAACCTAAAAGAAATAACAAGCATTGGTGGCAGATAGGGTGTCCATGTACGTATTAATTGGGGATTTATCTTGGTTGCAACTGGGGTGCTTTTGTACAGGTTGTAAAAGATAAGATGTCAAACGCCTAAAATCCTTTCGATTCTAAATTTTCATTTTAAAAAGTCCCTCCATGCGGTAGGTATATGAAGCACAAGCTTCAATTGTTTAACGACAATACTAGAAGATACTGTTATACATGTAATTCTTTTTATTTGAAAACAAAAAGAGTAACAGCAGATAGTTTTGAAAAATATATATATTTTCTCCTGCATCTGAGTGTGTACACTGTATTAATATAACAATGTAAATACTTACAGTTTATATCAAAGGAGTTTTGTCCAATTAGAGTCCACACGTTTGAGACAGATCGCCATACTTGGGTATAAAGTGTTCCATATGTTGTACCTATGTAAACCTCCCACTCCGACACAAAACCACAGCAGTCAATTTTATACTCGTTGTCAAGTGAGTTTAGAATGAAGGTTCTCCCTTTGGAAATTAATGCAAATTGAAATATCTTAATGATTATTTCTTTTGAGAGTCGCTTGATTCATAACAGAAGACATCAAATACAAAAGACCCAAGGGCCTTAACAGTCACAAGAGTATAATAATGTGAAAGATCCAATAGAAGTAGAATAAATAAATAATCAAAATAAAATGAAAATAAACTTAGAGACGAAATATGTTGCTTAAAAAGAAGATCTGGGATTAACAAAAATTTTATCAACTTCTCATTAGCAGTTACATGTACTGTATATTTTTATATTATAGGTGTCCAGAAGTAGAGATTGAAGCTTTTCAAAGGTTAATTATAAATTAAGTATAAACATTAATTTTACTGTATACAACAAATTCCTTGATAAAGGGCCAGGCCAGAAATTTGCTATTTCGGAAGAGGCACATTACTCATCAAACGCATATGCACTTAGTACGTTTGCTTTATAGCAGGAGATGAAAAGCAATCTTTTCAAAGAAACAAAAGTACAGACAATTGCAGGAATATTAATATTTGCAGAGAAACAATGCTGTTTTACTATACATGTATGATCAATAAGAACCCCGCCCTAACACTAGAACGTCTTGACTCATGGGCCATTAATTTTATTGTTTTGGATTCTTCCTTATCATAAGGTTTTCATCTGTTTGTCTGCTACCTGCGACCAAAACTATTTTCAAGGAATTTTATCTGAATTGTACTATATGAACAAAAGAGCTTCGAAATAATATTGAAACTCCTGAGAATCGCAATTTTGAAAGAATTTGCTCTAAATGTCATTTATAAATCGAAAAGGACGAATTCAAAATATTGTATGCATTCTTTTTTCTGGAAGAATATATACATTTTTTCTTAGCAAAAACTCCCGCTTTAACATCATAACTCTGACTCTGATGACATGAAATTCAAATTTTGGTAGAGGGCTTATGCTTATTTCAATCATGCTTACAATTTGACTGCTTGATGTCCAAATGACAAGAAAATGATTTTTTTTATTAATGCATTAATTTTTGTGATTTTTAAATCCTTCTGGCAACATGGATGCAGGGACAATGAAATTCAGAATTTTATTCACTTAAATATGATCAATGACAAAGAGCCAGAGCGCATTTGATAGTCACTTTCGCCTACTCTAGAAGTGATTTTTTAAAAACATTGTCTAAATTTGTTAAAATTGCATTACGTCAAGCAAATTGTGTTATATAATTAATCTTATCAATACATACAATGTCAGTTATACACGCCTTGAAGCAAATCACACCAAAATAATACTTAAATATTAATAGTCCCCTCATATGATAGGTATAAAAATCGTTCGTTCAGTTTATATGGTGAATATAGTAAATACTGAGGTACCCCCCTAAACAAACTGTAGCAAAAGACCACCCTTCACCAGAAAAACAACTTCTGAATAATTTTATTTGGATATGACTACACTTAATTACATTTAGATAATTTTGGTTAATGGTGGTCTTCATATTGAAAATATTAAAAATGTTTAAAATTTTTCTTTTCATAATTATCTTAGGATTCAACAATCTGTCTTAAATGTATACATCTAAATACAATGACTTCGTAGTGGTATGATTGCTGGACTGTAAACATAATGATCGTGGGTTCGAATCTCACAGTGTGTGTTTTACCTAATATGCTTTTATTTTTATTTTCTTAGTGCATTTTTCCTATGTTTTTCTTTTATTATTTTATTATGCATGTATAAATAATGTAAGAGATATATAATACATACATGAGAGATATATAATACATTACACTTTGAAAGTATCTCGGGAAAAAACAGTCCTGAACTATTTTAATTGACCCAAACTCATAGCTGCTAGCTTGTTTTATTTTTTAAAATTTTCTAAAAATCTTGTTAAGAATAAGAGTATTGAACAAGTAAAAATTATTGCCATGTAACAAAATTGCAACTATGAAAATATAACTCTGGTCCACAAATGATTGCAAACGTGTAGTTTGATCTTGAGTTGAAAAGGTACATGTACGTGTATCTATAAATAGAAATAGGTGATTTCCTTTTAAATACTTGAGTCGGCCGTGTCGTCGGTAAGGCAGCTATGACTCTTTGACTAAAATTGGAATTGGTAAATTCAGAGAAGAGGCTGAGTTCATTGAATCTATTAAACCAAAAAAGATTGTTGATCAATTATTCAAAAAGCTCTTTGATTAAAATAGTCAACAATATTAAGTTCAATAAGTAGATTAACTGATGACAAATATCCTTTTTGTCCCCCGCTTTCGCGAAAGCGTGGGGACATAAATCTCATTCGTCTGACCGTCAGTCTATCAGTCTGCCTGTCAGTCCGTCACGAAAACTTTAACCTAGCCCAAACCTTTTGATTTAGTGGGGATATGACTTTCACATGTGTATTCCTTATGACAAGACCTTTCTTTGAGTACCACCAAATTTGACCTTTTGACCTTGTAGCTTGATCCACTTTTACACAAAAACTCCAAACTTTTACTTTGGCCATAACTTTTGAATGATAGATATTAGGACTTTTTTATTTAAAAAAATAGTGGCAAGACCTTTCATTGGATACCAAGAACTTTGACATTTTGCCTTGACCTTGAAGATTTTTATACATATAAAAAAAACTTTAACCTTGGCCATAACTTTTGAACTTTAAGAGGCTAGGGCTTTCATACTTCACATATGTAATCCCATTAAGAACACATTTCATTGGATACCAAAAAAAATTTACCCTTTGACCTTGGAGTTTGACCTACTTTATGATTGATTGATTGTATATTGTTTAATGACCCTCTCGAGAATTTTTCACATATGGAGACGCTCCTACTTTTTGAAAACATTGACATTGGCCCCAAATTGTGAACGGTAGATACAAGGAATTTCATATTTCATATATGTATTTTTTGTGGCAATTCTTTTCATTTGATACCAACAACTTTGACCTTTTGAGCTTGACCTTGAAGATTTCCATATATAAAAAACTTCAAACTTGCCCATAACTTTTGAATGGTAAGGGCTAGGGCTTTCATACTTCACATATGTAATCCTTGTGAGAAGACCTTTCATTGGATACCAAGAACTGCGACCCTTTGACCTTGACCTTTGAGTTAAATTTACTTTTAAAAAACAAACCTAGACAATATTTAATGAAGGGTTATGGCTAAGGCTCTCATATTTCACATACTTAATCCTTGTGACAGGACCTTTCATTGGATATCAAGAACCAACTTTTAAAAAACTATAACCTTGGCCATAACTTTGTACGGTTAGGGCTAGGGTTTACATCTATCACATATGTAATCCTTGTGACAAGACCTTTCTTAAGAAACCAACAACTTTGACTATGGAGTTTGTCCTATCTTGTAAAAATTTATCCTTGGTCATAAATTTTTGAACAGGTGGTGCTAGAGATTTCGTCTTTCACAGTTGTATTTCGTGTGAGAAAACCCTGATTTGGGTAATAATATATTTAATTTGCATTTATGAAAGTTTAATCTTCGCTATGTTGCCATACGGGGTCATCAGTGTTTCACAAACGCATCTTGTTCCTTATATTGAGATGAGATGGGCTTTCATATTTTACATGCGCATTTCCTGTGACAAGATTTCTCCGAGCATGCTATGATTTCTGACTACTAGACCCTCACGAATGACCTTATTTTAAAAAAAATCAACTTCAGTGATAATTTCTTAATGACATATGATACGGCGTTCATATTTGACACAATATGTCAAAAAAATGACATCTCAACCACAAAGACACCGAAAGCGGGGGACCACAATTCTTTGAATTTGCTTGTAATTCATATAATATCCCCCTTCGAATTGACGTATGAAAAAGTGTAAAACAGTTAAATGTAGTGAATTACAAAGAACTTTTTTCAATTATTTCCTATATCCAGTGATAATTTATTATTTAAATATTGAATGAACGAAAGATCCATATAAGCATGAATTTAGAATGTCTTACTTTTGTTTTAAACTCTTCTATCCGTTTCATGAAATTTCGTTTGCAAGAAGTACTTTGACTTCAGAGATCTCACACACAGCACAGTATAATAACAATTTCCATTAAAAATAAAATTATTGACCATGACTGACTTACTTTGATATTTGTATTAATTTTGTTGAAGAAAAGACATTACCTACGCCTGCGTCATTATTAAAAGAGGAGACGGATTTTCCGACAGATTGTCCCGTTATACATGCTGCTGCATCTACAACAAAAGCGAACAAATCAGAATTGTTTAAGATCATTTAATCCTATCATAATCTTAAATTTAAATATATTTTATTTTGATTTGTTACTATTTTAGTTATTCCAAACATATCTACGAATTTTACATCTCAAGAAAATATTTTTTTTTTCAAACTTTCATTGCAGAAACGTTATTTGGGTTTGATTTTTACCAACATTTGTGTAAGAGAGTGTTGCATAAGTCAGATTTAACAAATATATTTATTTTGTAATGTGATATTTGTAATTTTGGGAATTTCTAATGAACTGAATTGGCAATTTTAAAATAAACTTCTCTTGGCGATTCATCAATTTAAATACAAAGTTTACAAAGTTTTTAGTTATTTGATACCTCCTTTGGACATAAAATGATATATCCATTCACCTCAATCTATCAGTGAATGATGATAAACCAGTAAATTCAAAGAAATTTTGAGATAAGGCAGAACTGGACCGATTTTCTAGATTTTGAGACATCTTGAATTAATTCATAGTCATACAATCGTGTACATTAACACAAGTGTTAGATTGTTGATTGAGAGATATCAATGAGCTAGATTTAAAATTCGAAAAACTTAGATCATTTACAGAAAAATTTTGAGCTAAAGCACCAGGCTATCGTGTGTTATTCGGTAAAATCTTTTTTCACATATATACCCGGTATGTAAGCCTATTACCTCTATTGATATGTGTAGATACAAAAATTAAACTCGATAGAAAACCTATATGCATTATGTTTTTAAGTAACAAATATGTAAGGGAATTGTATTAGATAAACTCTGCATAAAATTTACAAATCTAATATAATACAAAGCTTTCAAAAATCATTACTTCAATATAAACTGGTGGCGCAATGGTTAGAACATTTGCTCTAAAGTCGCAATGTAAGGAGTGAAAAATTCTCGAGAGGGACGTTAAACAATAGACAATCAATCAATCAATATAAACTGCTTTTGGTTAGAATGTGCTGCATTATATTTTAAATAGAAAAAGTCGGAGATATCAAAGAGAAAGCTCAAAAGTCCAGTAAAACATTACAAATTAGGAGTACACATGGACCTAAAAAAATATCAGGTGTGGGAACAAGTGTCAGCCACTAATTAAGAATCCCACGTTTAAAATTATTTTGCTCAAAATCCTCTGCATATTTTTTCCATTTTGCAATTTTTTCTAGTTGA